GTAACGGTGCTTTGGTTGGCAAAGGCGCCCGCATTGACAGTTTATCGGCAGTAAGAAGTCGGAGAGAAACAGCAGTCGAACTTTCGAGAAGCAGACATAGAAAGTTTGAGAAGGAGACATAGAATAATAGTAGAGCAATCAAGAGGATCAGCAGTCTTACAGCAGTCAGCAGTCTTACAGCAGTCAGCAGTCTTACAGCAGTCGTCAGCAGCAGCAGTCGTGAGTCGGTCGCAAGAAAGCAGTCGTGTTCAGCCGTTCATAGTCAGTCGTGAAGCAAGCCGTTACCGAGGTCTTATCCCGTCGCAGTTGTTTAAATATATCTTTGTACGCCTTACTTTAATTTGGATTGAACTTATATAATATTAATAAACTACATAATAATGATAATTCACATATATACGTACTAGAAATATGAATGTTTATTGCTTTGTGTATTTGGCAATAACATATGCACACGCCTGTACCTGTACAGGAGATGAACATTTTTAAATGGCATTTCGATTTGTATCTCAATTGGCTATTTGTTGCAAAGAGCTGCTGCGTTGAAAATACAATTGAAATTTCTGGCCGGAAATTGTTTCACAAATACTGCTCAATTAATATGTAAAATAATAAAAAGGGTAGAGATAGTTTTTCACAATAAATGTGGAAAGAAATAGACAAAAAACAAATATAAACCTGCACAGGTATTGGAAGCAAAACAAATTGCAATTTACGTTTCGCAAACTTATATATTTGGACTGAAATGAAATTGCAAAAATTTTTGAATATATTAAAGGTAAACATGCATATAAATCAAATAATTTTTCTTTATTTGTCCATGCATTTGAAATTCCATTCAGTTAAGTTAATAAATATTTTGCAAAACTCCCGACATATTATTTACAAATGCCTATCTTCGTACTTGATTTATAAACAAATCTATCACTATAAGCAACATTTCGCTAGCAGTGTGAACAAGCCTGTGTGAAAACTTATATATTTGGAGTGAAATTAAATTGCAAAAATTTTTGAATATATTAAAGGTAAACATGCATATAAATCAAATATTTTTTCTTTATTTGTCCAAGCATTTGAAATTCCATTCAGTTAAGTTAATAAATATTTTGCAAAACTCCCGACATATTATTTACAAATGCCTATCTTCGTACTTGTTTTATAAACAAATCTATCACTATAAGCAACATTTCGCTAGCAGAGTGAACAAGCCTGTGTGAGCTTTCTTCTCCACCTTTCTAATAATCCAATAAAAAATTACGGTACTCTGACAATTACTGCCCTGCTCTTGAAATAACAGCGCACACACGCCTATATACTAAGTACGAGTATCTCAAGTGGCACAGAGCAATTGCCTTTTTATCTTCATTCAGCAAACTAAGCTTATGCAGTAGAAATGCTTGTAAAAAGTTAAATGGAACAAATGTCCGGGTCATTTACTTGAGATAGATTTATGATGTGATAATTATGTGTATACGCGGTTAAAATAGGGAAGGAAGCTCTTAAGAAGTTATCTTCGTGCCTTACAGCAACAAACTTTATTCCTCCATGATAATGAGCCGAATCATACTCGTATTTAAACCGTATTGTGTTCGCACTATCTACATACTAAAAAAAACTGTTTACTTGTTTTTCTGTAGGCCATCCATGAGAGGTATATGCGACTCAAAATTGGTACATCAGGTATGACAGCATATTTAATACTTATTCGGTTTTTCTTATAAACAAAACACGGGGAGCAGCAAAAAAAGACATAGGCGGCCGCAAATAAAAAGGTTTAACAATATTTTTCTGAAACCCACGTCCCACAAATATTTCAAATTTAGAAAACTGTCTGTAGTGTTATAAAATGCATTTATACTTTACAGAGTTATAAATATAACTTTTTCGAAAAATTTCTCTAATATTGTGGGCAAAGAACCCTTGTTTCTAGAACAAAACTTTTAAAAAGGCAATTTTTAGGATTTTTTTTCTGAGTGTATGACAGCTATATAATAAGTTCTGGATCTTTTTTTTGGCCCTGGACTGTTTTTCAAATTTGGCGCCAATATCGTGGACCAATGTGTACATCCTTTGTTTGTTTTATCCTGGATATCCTGGACTATTATTGGACTGCTCTGCCGACGAACTGCTACCCAGTTTCTTAAAGCTGCCATCAATCTGACTCGCTTGCACTGCTTGCTTTCAAAATTCTGTTCCATTTTGATGTCAACTTATTACTGCAGTGTAATAAATCATTTCATAATTACATGCTAAATAAGTTGATATTCAAGGAAAATATGGTCAATAATTGATATTTTATGTTTAATATGTAAAAGTTACTTTAAAGGCATTTCTTCCCAATTTCTTAAAGCCAGCAAGCTGACTCGCTTACACTGCTTGCTTCCAAAATTCTGATCATTATTGAAGTCAATTTATTACTGCAGTGTAATAAATCATTTCATAATTGTATGCCAAATAAGTTGATATTTAAGGAAAAGATGTTTAATTTGTAAAAGTTACTTTAAAGGTATTTCTTCCCAGTTTCTTAAAACTGCAAACAAGCTGAGATTGAAAACTCGCTTGTACTGCTTGCTTCCAACATTTTGATCCTTTTTGAAGTCAACTTATTACTTAAGTGTAATAAATCATTTCATAATTGTATGCCAAATAAGATGATATTCAAGGAAAAGATGGTCAATAATTGATATTTTTTTGTTTAATTTGTAAAAGTTACTTTAAAGGTATTTCTTCCCAATTTCTTAAAGCTGAGGTTGAAGACTCGCTTGCACTGCTTGCTTCAACAATTCTGATCCATTTCAAAGTCAACTTATTACTGCAGTGTAATAAATCATTTCACAATTGTATGCCAAATAAGATGATATTCAAGGAAAAGATGGTCAATAATTGATATTTAATGTTTAATTTGTAAAAGTTACTTTAAAGGCATTTCTTCCCAATTTCTTAAAGCCAGCAAGCTGACTCGCTTACACTGCTTGCTTCCAAAATTCTGATCATTATTGAAGTCAATTTATTACTGCAGTGTAATAAATCATTTCATAATTGTATGCCAAATAAGTTGATATTTAAGGAAAAGATGTTTAATTTGTAAAAGTTACTTTAAAGGTATTTCTTCCCAGTTTCTTAAAACTGCAAACAAGCTGAGATTGAAAACTCGCTTGCACTGTTTGCTTCCAAAATTCTGATCATTATTGAAGTCAACTTATTACTGAAGTGTAATAAATCATTTCATAATTGTATGCCTAATAAGTTGATATTTAAGGAAAATATGTTAAATTTTTAAAAGTTACTTTAAAGGTATTTCTTCCCAGTTTCTTAAAACTGCAAGCAAGCTGAGATTGAAGACTCGCTTGCACTGCTTGCTTCAACAATTCTGATCCATTTCAAAGTCAACTTATTACTGCAGTGTAATAAATCATTTCACAATTGTATGCCAAATAAGATGATATTCAAGGAAAAGATGGTCAATAATTGATATTTAATGTTTAATTTGTAAAAGTTACTTTAAAGGTATTTCTTCCCAATTTCTTAAAGCTGCCAGCAAGCTGAGGTTGAAGACTCGCTTGCACTGCTTGTTTCAACAATTCTGATCCATTTCAAAGTCAACTTATTACTGCAGTAACAATTACATTTCACAATTGTATGCAAAATAAGATGATATTCAAGGAAAAGATGGTCAATAATTGATATTTAATGTTTAATTTGTAAAAGTTACTTTGAAGGTATTTCTTCTCAATTTCTTAAAGGTGCCAGCAAGCTGAGGTTGAAAACTCGCTTGCCCTGCTTGCTTCAACAATTCTGATCCATTTCAAAGTCAACTTATTACTGCAGTAACAATTACATTTTACAATTGTATGCAAAATAATATGATATTCAAGGAAAAGATGGTCAATAATTGATATTTAATGTTTAATTTGTAAAAGTTACTTTGAAGGTATTTCTTCTCAATTTCTTAAAGCTGCCAGCAAGCTGAGGTTGAAAACTCGCTTGCCCTGCTTGCTTCCAAAATTCTGATCTTCTTTGAAGTCAACTTATTACTTCCGTGTAATAAATCATTTCATAATTGCATGCCAAATAAGTTCATTTTCAAGGAGAAGATTGTCAATAGATTGTCTAAATAATTGATATTTAATGTTTAATTTGTAAAAGTTACTTTAAAGGTATTTCTTCTTATGAATATTCTGTATTGCTTGAGCCAAATCTCTTCAAACTTACTCACTCCTCTGATGAATACCTACGTTGTCTTTAGGCATCCATAATTAATTTAAATTGGTATATTTCGAGGAGTCTCACTTCAAACCACAGTCTGAGATAAATCAAATGTAATTACACACAACTTGAGCACATACATCTATCTATATATACTATATGTATATAAACCCACTTGCTGTGCTCAGGGGAGTTTTGGCATTCTGTATTTTCTCTTGAGCCAGCGTTTGCTCCCCAGTGTCTTATCTTTGTTGAGCTTTATTTCAGAGTGCAAGTGCGAATAGACAAGGAGGAAATACATTTGTTTCTCCAACAATAAATGTTGCTTGCTCTAATTAACTGCGAGAGTAGAAAATGTGGAAATGTGTGCGAATATTTCTACTAATGCCGTGCAGCATATTTATATCAGAAACACTAACACATACTAGACATATCAAGTACTCGAGTCCTTGAAAGCTTTATTCATATTTGATATTCAGGTGTTAGTATATTAACAAGAATAATAAAGGAGCTGCTCGCCAGAGTCTGAGCTACAGGGCGGAAAAGCAATTATAACCGTTCTAAATTGCCGTAATGTGTCAGATTCAGTAAACTTTGTAAATAAATGTCAAACTTGAAATTTGGATGGCAGCCCGACCAGCACTCGGCACCAGGCACTTGGCCCATCGTTAGTGTAAATGTGGAACTGCAACTTTTGATACGATAATCCGCACCTTTCGGGATGCTATTTCCAGAAAACTGTGCGTATGAAATTTTAATGAGTCGAGAGTTCACTTTTCACAAACTTTACTTACCAAAGTAACTCGCTTAATCAGATTGTAATATGTATTCAATATTAATTGGGTAATGGTGTTACGTTGATGACATATATTTCTCAATTACGCTGCACCCACACACTCAGTTATGATTTGCACTTTTTGGAGCCAGCTTGGGCAGTAGAGGGCCTGCCAGCATTTATTTCATATTTTATTCAACCGCAGTATAAATTTGCACAACCACGAAATTAATCAGGCTTGATTAAAGTTGCATGCGACGAGGTGCCAAAGTGTGAAGACTGTCTGTCCACTTTTTAATTTTGGGCCCGCAAGCACAAACAACAACGTATAGATGTCCCGTGGGGAAGAAGTAAGTAGTATCATCCGATTTGGACCAGCACGAGAGTACCGCGCGCTATAATACGAAAGGCTCGACTGTTCGACTAAGTACTCCACAGACAGCACCCACAAAACAACAGTACCAACAAGCACAACAACAACAACAACAACAGCACCAGTAACAACACAGACACCGACAATTGCGACGGTGATGGCGATGGCGATGGCGTTAGCGTTGGCTCTGGTGATGGGAACGTAAAATTGTTGGCGACAACTTTCACTTGTGGGCCGTGGTGGTGCGAGACAGTGTATTCCGAGCACTTGACACAAGATAAACAATTTGTCTCTCAGCCACGACAAAATGGGCAGCTTGGCGCCAAACACCTGAAACGGGCGCAACTGCCTGGGCGGGCTGCTTTCGAATCAAATGAAAAGAGCTACATCAGCATCGCACAGTTCACGTTTCACATGGTTTTCCACAGCGCTGCTAGTAACACTTTTTATATTAAGCGGATGTTATCACTTCCGCATCACTCCAAATGTTTTGTCCGAGTGGTAAACCGTCCCGTACAGAATCAAGCGCGCAACTGAGCCTCCCCCTCTGAGCTAATCTGACAATGTGGTCCAACACTTTGTGGATGCTGTAACAGAACCGAATGCGGCGATTCTGCGCACAGATTCCACGTTCCAATACTCTCGTTTGCCACATTCAAAAATATTGGGAACACCTTTCTGCCAACTGCTAAAGAAAATATATATTTGAAATTTCCGTTAGCTTACCTTACGCGAAAAATTGGAAGAAGGCTTTCGGGAAGAAGTTATGAATGGGCCGTAAGACCGAATGTAGATTCGGTGGAAACATTGAGCATCGAAAGTCAAATGTATGATGAGGATATGAGATATGAGTCAAGGATATGCATTTATTTATTTATGTCAACAAGCATTGACTTTCGACATAGGAGGAAAATTTATAAAAATTATAAAAAGCTAGAAAAGCCTAAGGAGGAGAATTCTAATCAAATTACAATAATAATTAATTAACGCCTTCGACCCGGTGGGGGAATATTATTTGCCCCGTCTCAAGAGACGCCAAGAGGCGTCAATAGATCTACCGATATAAAAAAAGAAAAACTTAACAGAGAGAAGAAGCTTAGAACTACATACAAGCTGATTTAAAAAGATAAACAAGATAGAACGCTACAGTCGAGCAAGCCCGACAGTAAAATAGCCTGTACTCTCCACAAAAAAGAAAAATTAAAAAAAAATTAAATTATTAAAAAAAATTAATGAATTAATTAATTAAATTAAATTAGAATATATGTTTATGTTTAGTTTTAACAGCATACATTTACATCACGTACCTATGCGTGTTTATATGCGTGTATGCATGCAGCACAAAGTTGAACCAAAGCAGCAACAACAACAACAGCTGCGGGCAGCGCTGCCGACAGAGGCAGCGATTTTAATTATGGCTATAACTTTCTTCAGAATTGACCTATCATGATGAAATTTGGCACACGGACACATTAGTACTAACTGGATGTACCTACCAAAATTGATTTCAAAATTCCGAGAATTACGGAAGTTATAAGAAAAAACACGAATTGCGGGGGAGTGGGGGGGTGCATCGAAAAAAAACTCAAACTCGTACTTTCTCGGTCTTAGGAGAATATGGAAACCAAGTTTGGTTATTCTAGCTCTTATACTTTCTGAGATCCTTGCGTTCATACGGACAGACGGACAGACAGACGGACAGACGGACGGACAGACGGACGGACGGACAAGGCTATATCGACTCGGCTTCTCATCCTGATCAAGAATATATATACTTTGTGGGGTCTGCCACGCCTCCTTCTGTGTGTTACATACATGCGCACAAAACTAGTATAGCCTTTCACCCTTTGGGTACAGGCTATAAAAATAAAATAAATGGAATCTCAGACCCGGTAGGGGAAGATTTTTTAGCCAGTCCGGCAAGCTATGCCCAGAAAAGAAAGTCGCCCACACCCATTCCTGGTCAGAGATTCTGGAGATGGCTGAAAAGAGCGGCTTTTATTAAAGGAAGAGACAGTTCGGTTGAAAAGAGAGAGAAAATAATATTTATAAGATGAGCATAAAACCCGAAAAGGATTGGGCGATGCATACTCAGTTGTACACCTACTAAGGTAAACGGGAAGATAACTTCTAGTCGTTCTGAAAGGTACTGAGAAATTAAGTCGACCTTATAGAAAAAAGAATCGTCCCTACCAGCAATCAGTTTGTGGAGAAATACAGCTCCAAGGACAGTCCTCCGATTAGCCAATGCAGGAAGATTAATAAGCAGAAGTCTGCTTGAGAAAGGCGGCAAACAAAGGTTGGGATGCCAGTTTAAACCAAGAAGAGTAAAAAGGAGGAATTGTTCCTGAACGGACTCAATTCGATCCTGATGCGTTTTTTACTGCGGACACCAAACGCATGAGCAGTATTCTAGAATAGTTTAGTGGTATAGGAAAATACACAGGTCTGTGTAGATCCCATAATCGCAGTGTTACAACGCCTACACAAATACTTGTATTTATTAAAATATTTTAATTCGAATTCAATAATATTTATATGTACTTCAAGTCAGGGATTCTAACATTTTTGAGTTAGCTTTCGACTTCGGTTTCTGTGGAGATTTCTGTATTGGGAGTTTCCTCATTTCAGTTGCAGTCTAAGTTTTGATTTTGATTTCGATTTGTGGCTTTAATTCTGTCGCTGCTGTTTTGAATTTAAATTGCATGACAAAACAAGTTGATCCGGCTACGTCCGTCTTAAGTTTAAAGCTACGATTAACATAACTTTCACGCTTAAGGACTTATTCATTATATAATAGTATTGCAACATTAGCGCAAGAGATTTTTTATATCAGTCGCTTCATTTGGGTTTGATACGAGTTTAAATATACATGAAGTCGTCGATTAACTGAACATATATGTAGGTGCTGATGGGGCTTTGGATTTAAACACCCGCCTGTCCATTAACCACATACATGTACTTTTTAAAGGAGGTTTTTTTTTTTTGACGCCGCAAGACGTTTTGTGACAAAAACTGCCCGATTTCTAGTACAATTTTTAAGTGCTTTCTAGGACCAAATTGCGTACTGCTTTTAATTTAACTGCACACATTTCACTTCGATTCAGCTGCGCACCGGGCTTATTCTGCTTTGTAGTGCATCGAGGGCCCAGGGCCTTCGGAAACCTAATTTGCGTTCAAGTTTTAGGCAGAATGTAGCGATGTAGCGGCGTATAGGCCGCACACAATCTACGTTGTTTGTTGTTGTGTTTCGTTATATTGGCGTAACGGTTGCAGCTGCAGCTGCCACATTATTGTCCGCACCCAGCAAAAATCGCTCGGAGGGCCTATTACGGGACGCTCGAATTCACCAGCGACTACCATATGCATGGCAAACATAAGAGCACATTGTGGGCAGTGGAGAGGAGCTGGACGTGGAAGCCCTAAAGTCCGCCTTGGCTGGCCGGCGAATGTAGGGTTGTTTGCGCTGCGCACTCTAATTAAAACTTGTGCCGAGGGCTAATATGTTCACAAAACATTTTACGAGGTTAAAGCTAAGAACGAAAAACAAGAAAAAAAATGACGAAAATTAACGCCTGGAGCTGTTTATTGGTCAAGCAAGAAAGCGAAGGCAGCTTTTACCCGGGGCTATTTTATTATTATCTACACTGTCCAATATATACTCCTATATTGTAGTGAAAACATAAATTCATATATTCATGAGCACATACACATGTATGTATACATATATACTCGTATACGCGTACTATATACAATTTGTGCGCGAGAAGAAGAGTGTAGTTTTTGTAGGTATTGGGTACAAAATATAAAAAAGAGGGATATGGTCAATATAATTTATAAAAATGACTGGAAAGATAGAAATAAATGTCGTAATAACAAACATTTACAACTTCCTCTACAATTGACCTAATTTTTAAATTTCGAGAGTTATGAAAAAATCGCTAAAAGTGCGAGAGGAGGAAAAAAACCACTAACTTGTCTTAATTAGGGCTTAGGGAAATATGAATGCTAAAATTTGTTGTTCTTACTCTTTGAGTTCCTTTATACAGGCTCGTGGCTATATGGACTTGTCTAGTCATGCTGAAGCAAACATAAATTATGTCTTTTTTGAGGTCCACCACGCCTCGTTCTGTATTATACAACGTGTGCTATCTATTTAATTATTTTATACAATCGTTTCGATTAGCTAGGTGGTTTAAAAATGAACCGGTTTGTGCTCAAAAGCTATGTATAACAAGTAAAAAAGCTAAAGTCGGGTGTCCCGACTTTGAAATACTCTGTACATATGTTTACAATAATTATAGAAAATAAAAAAAATTAAGAAAAAATAAAAAATTGGATCGATTTTACCTCTCTCGGTATTCGAACTCACGTAAAGGGTGTATAATTGCACATTTACATAGCAATTGCGTCTGTGTGAGTGTATGTATGCCTATTCGTGTCTGTGTAAACATGTGTGCAGTCAACCAAGGCACCAACATCAACAACAGCTGCGGGCAGTGGTTGGGCAGCGCTTGAGCAGCGCTGCAGCAGCAAATATATTTACGGCTATAACTTATTTTTAAATCGGTCTATCATAGTGAAACTTGGCATACGGACACATAATAACTAATTGGGGGTATTTGCAAAATTTTAGTTCGAAATTCCAAGAATTACGGGAGTAAGAGAAAATCACATTTGCGGGGGAGAGGGGGGAGGGAGGGAAATTCCAAAATATACATTTTCTGCGTATTCACACAAGGCATCTTGGACTAAAATTTGGTGTTCCTAGGTCTTATAGTCTCCGAGATATAGGCGATTATACGAATGGAAAATCGGGAAAATCCCCATAGGGGGGAAGTGGGGGGGAAAATCAAAAAAATAAAACAAACTCGTATAGCATACACACATAAGGCATCTTTGTGCAAAATTTGGTGTCTCTAGCTCTTATAGTCTCTGAGATCTAGGTGATCATACGGACGGACGGACGGACGGACGGACAGACGGACAGACGGACAGACGGACAGACAGACAGACAGGGCTAGATCGACTCGTCTCGTCATGCTGATCAAGAATATATATACTTTGTGGGATCTGCCACGCCTCCTTCTGCCTGTTACATTTTTCAGCTCGCGCAAACCTAATATACTCTTGTACATTTCATGTACAGAGTATAAAAAGAGGCCATAGTTTCTTATTTGCTTGTAATAATTGTTTTAAGCAAATTCTAAGCGTATTGCAGGAATACTCAAGGGATTTTATAAAAGTGATTAGAACGAGTTAGTCTGTAAATTTAAATTTAAACTAATATACACCCAATTCTCTTTTTACACGGTAGATTGGTTCCTGAAAAATTCGTTAAAAAAGGCATTGATCTTATGCAAAATGAATCGTGCTTAATTAAATAAAGCCGTGAAACCATATAAAAAAAAAAATTTTAATTTTCAATCCCTCTTAAATCAAAATCGTGCAAAAACAGAATTAGGTATATATACAAGTATACATAGAATTTTGAAAACAAC